TAATAATAATAATAATAATAATAATAATAATAATAATAATAACAATAATAAATAATAGCATTTTCAGTACAGCAACTCTCCTGCATTTTGCAATGGTCGAACGCCAAACGCAAAAGCCGCAATTAAGCGCAGTAAAAATCGCTCCGTCTCACGTCGTGAACGTTGTGGAAATAAAATATATTTCTTTTCTTTTTTCTCTTCTTCTTCTTCTTCTTCTTCTTCTTCTCGTTGTTGAGATGATGATGATAGTAGTAGTAGTGGTTTGAAGATCCCATCTCTTAATCGAATAGCCCGTCGAAGCATTAAGAGAACAGTGAATAAACCACGTCGCTCCTCTACAGTAGTGACCCGAGTAATTAAAAGATCCATACGTGTACGGTTTAACTGTGGGAGTCCGGCATTTAAATAAGACTCTAGAGATGCCAAACACTCTACACTTGAACAACAGGCAAAGCAAATTGGTCGACTTTCTTCTTTTTCTTTTTTTTCTTTTTCTTTTTTTGTATTTGTTGATTGTAGAGATTTCATAGTGTTTGGATATTGGGAGTGGCAAACAAAACATGTTTGTGATGATGAAGAAGAAAGAGTTTTTTCTTTTTCTTCTACAAGTTGCATGATTCGAATGGCAAAACTTAACTTTCGCCAGTTTTCCATAGAGAGAACAGCTGGATGTAAAATAAAGGAGACCTCTTCACCCTCCGTATTATTATTATTATTATTATTATTATTATTATTATTATTATTATTATTATTATTTATACATTGTCCTGTTAGGGAGGCAATAAGGGATATAATACGAACAAGTATAATTGCTTGAAGTTGTATAATATCAATTGGTAGTGGACCTTCCCAATCATTACATCTTCTTCTCCCATTATCTTCTTCTTCTTCTCCTTGTTGTTGTTTATCTGTTGATGTGGATAAGGATGAAAATAAAAAACGCCATGGTAATAAGGCAGTAGTCGTCGTTATATCCATTGCATTCATCCCTGTATTCTCCTGTATCCCCATATCACTATTGACATCTCTGCAAAGAGAAGAAAGTGGAGTGAGATGATAATGAGAAGGTACGGCACTATCCGGTAGTAATAACTCTAACGCCTGCTGGGCAAGAGACTGTAGAATAACTCTACAATACGTAGAAACCTCCTTTATAATAATAATCTCATTATTATTATTATTATTATTATTATTATTATTATTATTATTATTATTATTATTA